GAATATAAGTGTTTAAAACACGTTAATAAACTTCTTATGCTAAACAAATGTAATATTGAATATGGAATAAAAGGGGCAAAAACATTTAAAAATTTTATGTTTCTTTACATATTTTGTAGCAGTGTTTGTGAGTTTGGGAGGCCAAGGCATGGAAAAGTTGTGAACTTCTGTCATAAATCATTCCAGCCGCATTTACAGCTTTTATTTTGAAGGGTTGTTAAAACTTCGCTTTGCTAAAACTTTTATTTTATTGTGAAAGTTCTGGAACAACAATGGCAACGCTTTTCAGTGAAGTGTTGTCGGTGAATTCTTGAGCTGTGGAGGATGACGACGAGGGTCTTGACAAAGAGCAAATTTTCAGAGAAATGGAGGAAAAGCAGTAAAACACAGTTATGCTAATATTAAAGTGCGACAGAAACTAAAACGTAATTCACATTTGCCCATGATAGAAGGAAAGATGRACTCAGGTCCCAGAACAATAAAAGATAAGAAGGATACCTCTGCAGACAAAAAAACATACTTGTAACACACAAAATAAAGATGAGATTGGTTCATCATCAACAAGATGCCAGCAGAACTTTTAAGAGTTATTCAAGTCATCTGTTAAAAATTCCTGTTTGTTTTCATGCTGCACGGTTAAAAAAAATCACAGTGTCAGTTCTTTACAATACCGTGCAGCCCTAAAACTCATGAAGGCCAGAAATAATTAAATGAGAAATACTATCTGGAATAACAACAGACTGCTGCTGTACTCTGGAGCAACAGAGATAATTAAAGCCTGACTTTGTTCACACTGCTTCTTCYCTTCTTCKTTTTTTCAGAGTTGCTGCTTGCAGGTCTAGTGATTTCTTAATCCATGCAGTCTTCTAGTTTCCATTCCTTAGTCCTGTTCAGTGAGGTTATCCCTGCTGTCATGAGGCGGGGTGCACCGGCCAAGACAAGAACACACAACGATGCACTCTCACACCTACAGTCAATTTAGTAGCACCAATTAGCTTAGTACGTGGATAAAATCTGCACATTCATGCTAAATTATTTGTTGACTTTATTTTCCCAAGGATGAATACAATACACTCTGCCATTTAAGTGAGAACCGATATAAAAAGTGCAAATTTACAGTTTAAACCAGAAATGTCAAACTAATTTCACACATGAGCATAACGTTTACCCTCAAAGGATCAATTGTAACTAGAGAAATTTCATTTCCTGCAAAAATGCTAGTGTGAATGCTTCATGCTGAAAACAGCTGAAATTGAGCTGAAAATATTTAATAGCAAGATTGTTAATGTGAGCTCACTTTGAAAAGATGAAAGAAAAACAGCCTAACTTTGCTGAAAAACGGTCTAAATTGGCACAAATCGAGTTGAAAACAACAGAAAACGACTAAAAGCTCAAAGCTAAAATTGCTGTATAGAGCTGAAAACATATGTAAGAAGCATAAATAGCACAAATTAGCAGAAAAAACACAAAACATCAGAAGAATAGCAGAAAGACACAGAATTTTACCTGAAATATCAGAAAAAACTAAAATTAGCACAAGAAAATGAAAAAGAATAGAACCAGAACAAAATGTGTAAGGTGCTGTGAAGATTTAGAAACATTTTGAAAGGTTTTCAGGATGATGGAAACAGCTCCATTCATTTTCAATGGGAAAAAAGCGGCTGAAAAAGTGAAATAGCTGAAAACGTATAAATAGCTGAAATACCAAAAGCCATAGCACCCTTGGCATAAATGAACTGAACGTTTTGATATATGAATTGTTGAAATAGCACAAAAATTGTGGAATGAGTTAGATGCCAAAAAACGTACAGAAGAAAAAATGATCTCAATAGCGTGAATGCTATGAAGCATTTACACTATTAACTTTGTTTTGTGTTTAACTTCGACAAAACATGAAACAACACATTCCTAGTCTGATTGCTACAGCTGTGCACCACAAACAAACAATAACTGAGCTCTACCTGGTTTTTCCTGCATAGAAACAATGTTTTAACACATCCTCTTTTAAACACAGAAAATCACTATGTGCATGTCTGACTAAATGTGACATAAACAAAAATACTACTAAAAGTAAAAGTAAGTGTTTTACTCGTGTTGTAGTGAGTAGCTGCCATCTTGATATCAGAGCTCTCCCATATTATGACAGGTTATGCTGCGTTCCATTTACATCGTATTCCCCGAACTGGTAAATGGTAGTGACGTCATTTCCCAACAAACCATATGAAACTGATTTGATTTATTCATTCAACAGGAAAAGATTACTAAAAATCAAGCCTGACTCAGCATAATTGCTGTTTTACAGCAGGTTCCTGTTCTGCAGCACATAAAACGCTCAGAAATACAGCATCACAATCACATCATTATACACCATAGACACAAAGACA